ACGAGATCTCCGGGTGTGAAGTGGACGTCACGATGGCGGGCGTCGTATACGCTCTTCTGATTGTCCTGGGAGTCCAGTAAGCGTCGTCGAGCAACTTGGCGTGCCGCTTGGGCCTTCATTATTGCATCACGAGCGTACTGAGACTTGTCATTTAGTCCGGCCGGCAGGAGGGTGTCGAAAGGTAGCGCAGGGTCACGGCCGCCGAACAACAGAAAAAAAGGAGAGAACCCCAGCGGTGTCGTGTCTGGAAGAATTGTACGCGAATGTTACAACGGTAACGTAGTGTCCCAGTCGCGGTGATCGGCGGAGACATACATGGAGAGCATGTCCGTGAGAGTGCGATTGAGGCGCTCCGGTTAGACCATTTGTTTGTGGATGGTAAGCAGTCGAGAGCTTGTGTTTAGTGGCGCAGGAGCGGAGGAGGTCATCAACCACTTTGGAAAGGAAGTAGCTGCCTCGGTCGGTAAGGAGTTGTCGAGGGGCGCCATGATGTAAGATGACGTCCTCCAGAAGGAAATCGGCCACGTCAGTTGCACAGCTGGTTGGAAGGGCCCGTGTGATCGCGTATCGGGTAGCATAATCGGTTGCTACTGCAATCCACCGATTACCCGCAGTGACGTAGGAAAAGGGCCAAGCAGGTCCACGCCAACACGGTTAGAATGGGTCTTGTGGGATGTGCAGTGGCTAGAAGACGTCCGGCCGGAGGGGCATTTGGTTTTTTCCGTCGTTGACAAGGGTCGCAGGCTGCAATATAACGGCAGACGTCGCGGTACTGCCGGCCAGAAGACGCGCGGCGAACTCTGTCGTAGGTCCGTGACCACGCGAGGTGACCCGCTGTAGGTGCATCATGAAGCTGGCGGAACAGTGTGACGCAATTGAATGGAACGACGGTAGTCTTTCGGGCCGTCAGGAGCATATTGCAACGGTACATACACCATCATGTATTTCAAACATTCGAAGGAAGGGTCGGGCCTCACCGATGTGAGCCTTCGGATAATACCGTCCAAGAAAGTATCTCGTCGCTGCTCGATTCCAATGTCATGAAACGCGGATAGAGAGAAAACGTCGATAGGAAGGGTGGTTTTAGAGGAGTCGCCGTCTGGAGGGTCGACAGGATACCGGGACAAGCAGTCCGCATCTTGATGCAGGCGGCCGGTTTTATACAGGACTGAGTAATCAAATTCTTGAAGGCGCAGCGCCCAACGGCCAAGACGGCTGAAGGGTCTTTAAGGGACGAAAGCCAGCACAAGGCGTGGTGATCTGTGATTACTGTGAATGGCCGGCCGTACAAATAGGGACGAAATTTACCGACTGCCCAAACAAGTGCCAAACATTCCCGTTCGGTTATTGAATATTTTCTTTCAGCAGGCGAAAGAAGGCGGCTGGCATAAGCAACAACACGGTCTCGTCCTTGTTGTTTCTGGGCGAGGACTGCACCGATGCCATAGCCACTTGCGTCTGTACGAACTTCTGTTGGAGATGAAATATCAAAGTGGGCGAGGATAGGCGGAGACGTAAGCAGACACACTAGATTTTGAAACGCATCTGCTTGCTCAGGGCCCCAGATGAAGCCAGCGTCTTTTTTGAGAAGTTGAGTGAGAGGGCGTGCTACGTCGGCGAAGTTTTTAACAAAGCGGCGGAAGTAAGAACAGAGGCCAACGAAACTGCGAACGTCTTTGGTACAGGTTGGTACAGGGAAATCTCTTACTGCGCGTATTTTATCTTGATCAGGGCGAACCCCCACGGAATCAACGAGGTGTCCGAGGACAGAAATTTCACGACGGCCGAAGTGGCACTTTGCCGAATTGAGTTGCAGGCCCGCCTTACGAAAGACAGATAAGATTTTTCGATAGCCTTTCAAGGTGCGTCGCAAAAGAAGGCGAAAAAACGATAACGTCGTCCAGGTAGCACAGGCAGATGGACCACTTGAAGCCGTGCAACAGAGCGTCCATCATACGTTCGAATGTGGCGGGCGCATTACATAAACCGAATGGCATCACTTTAAACTCGTAAAGGCCGTCGGGAGTGATAAACGCCGTCTTCTCACGGTCCATGTCATCAACGGCAATCTGCCAGTACCCAGAGCGGAGGTCAATGGAGGGAAAAATATTTTGCGCCGTGAAGGCAATCCAGGGCATCGTCTATGCGTGGTAAGGGTAGACGTCCTTCTTCGTTATTTTGTTTAAATGGCGATAATCGACGCAAAATCTCCAGCTGTTGTCCTTCTTCTTTACAAGTACAACAGGGGACGCCCAGGGACTGCATGAAGGCTCGATGATATTCCGAGAAAGCATTTTGTCGACCTCCTGTTGGATGATGCGCGCTCTGCATGGGAAACACGGTAGGGTCTCCGATGGATTGGACTCGTATCGCCTGTATCAATCCGGTGCTTAACAACGGACGTCTGGCCGAGTGGGCGGTCGCCAAGGTCGAAGATGTCCCAAAAAGATGCAAGCAGGGAACGCAGGTCGTTAGCTTGTTCTTTCGGCAAGTCGGGGGCAATCATCTTGGTTAACACACTTTGATCTGATGGAGGAGTAGACGAAGTTTTTCGGCACTCGGATGCTGTCATAACTTAGAGTGCAAATATGGCACTCTGCCGCCGGCACGATCTCGGCTAGAGATATACCACGAGGGAGGACTTGTGTACATAGTGAAAAATTCACTAAGGGTAGGCAGGATGCATTGGCCGTAATAGTGATGACGGTGTGAGGAAACGCAACGTTGTGCGAAAGCAGGACGTCAACATTGGGGGACACAATATAAACACCGTCTGGGACAGGTGGAACAGGGGAGACGCCTATGTAAGCTACTGTTCGTTGAGGGAGACGCAGGTGTTCTGTAGAACAAAGCCGACTTGGAGGGCAACTTGGAGGATCAACAGCATTAGGTAGAGCGAGTTGCACTATACCGGCAGAGCAGTCTATCAAGGCCGAATGTTCAGACAAAAAGTCTTGGCCCAAAATTATGTCATTAGGGCAGTGTTCTAAAACATAAAACAGAACTGATGTGTGGTGTCCGGCGACGCTGACGCGAGCTGAGCACACACCAATTACGGCGACTTTTCCACCATCGGCCGTTCGGACCACAGGAGTTGGGCCAGGAGTAAGGACTTTCTTCAGCCGTGCTCTAAGGTCAGCGTTCATGATAGACACGTGTGCGCCAGTGTCAATGAGGGCTGTAGTAGGTACACCGTCGACGTCAACATTGATAAGGTTCTGATGTGCGGGCAAGGTCAGTAGAGGATTTTGGGATCGGGTCGGTATTGCAGCATCACCTCCAAGAGCTGCTCCCGTCAGTTTTCCGGAGGTGAACGCCGGAACGAGCTTGGGGACGGCGATCGGCGAGATGGGGGCGAGCGGGAGAAACGGCGTTGTGGCGAAGGGGAGCGGCTGGATCGGGGGCGCGAGGAATTCTCAGGCGTTAGCGGCTCTGTTTTCGGTGATGAGCGTGAATTCCAGACAGGTGGGCGATGGGGCGGAGGGTGAGGCCACGGAGCAGAGCTGGACCAAGCACGGCAGTGACGCGAAATGTGGCCTATACGACCGCAATTGAAGCATATCGGCCGGTCGTCTGGGGTGCGCCATACCGCCGGGTCGCGATAATGTGGGCTGGCAGAAAAACGTCGGTTGGGCGGGACAGTCACGGGTGGATTTGGTGTGGCGTAGTCTGGACGATGAATGGAGCAGACGTTTAAGCCGGCGTTGGCCAGTTCTTGCCTCACGACGGTCTGTATGAGAGAGACGGTGGCGTGATAGCTTTCGGAGTTGGGGGAGGCTGACACGAGTGGAGCTGCGGCTTCTATTTCCCGACGGACAATACGGACAACGTCACCGGGACTTTCCGTAGAAGGCAGGCGAGGGTCTTCGCATGTGGACGTTGCAGCCGTGTTTGGAAGCCGGGCAAACTGGTGGAGAACACGGCGGCTCTTCGCTTCTTCAAAGCGCCGGCATTCAGAAATAATGTCGTGGACCGTAGATGAATTCTTGAACACAAGAAGGTGAAAGGCGTCATCTGCTATGCCCTTAATAATATGGCCAACCTTATCGGCTTCGGACATCTGCGAGTCTACCTTGCGGCACAAAGCGAGCACGTCCTGAATGTACGTGAGGTATGATTCGGTGCACGTCTGAACTCGACGTGCGAGCTCGTTTTGGGCGGCGCGTTGACTTCCCACAGGCCTGCCAAATAGCTCCCGGAGCTTTTGCTTGCATAACTCCCAGCTAGTCAGTTCTTCCTCGTGCGTCTCGTACCAGACCTTTGCGGTACCTCTGAGATAAAAAATCACGTTGGCCAGCATGAGCGTTGGATCCCATCGCATACGTACACCCACTCGTTCGTATGACTTCAGCCAGGCTTCTACGTCAATGCCATCAGTGCCAGAAAAGGTACCTGGATCTCTCGGGGGCTCCAAGATGAGGGTTGACGGTCCAGTTGGAGAAAGCACGGACGTAGTTGGAGAAGGCACGGTAGACGGGGAAGGGTCGGCATTGTTGACTGCAGTCGCCATGGGGGAGACCACTAGGCGCCCGCTACGAAGCTCCGTTTTGCGTGAAGTGAGTACCCCGCACCTCCCACCAATGATGTTACGGGAGAATAACTTTACTTTATAAAACGAGGAATAAACTCGGTGGTGGACAAGATGGCGCCCAGTTGGCTCACAGATCTGACAACATCGTCCTCCTCTTTGTCTTCTTCGTCGTTCTCATCCTACCGTTACAATATTCACACATGGCTACTATGTAGAGCTTTCAACAGTATGAAGTATGACGCAATGGTGAGTGGAACATAGCAGGTGATGTCTCGCATTGCACGGTGACATAGCTTTAAGTGCTCGCTGTGCTATGCTAATGTGATAGAAGCCAGGTGGTCCAAAGAAAAATATTTTGCCCAGAAATTGTTTGCCTATATGGGACACATGAATTCCCGCAGTAACCACATTAGCAGAATGCAATTTCAATCATGGCATAATTATGTAGGTAATTTGATTTGCACCTTACCTACAATAGACTGCAGTGCCACTTTCTGTGGCATGGCAACAATATCATCAGGGTCTTTGAGGTGCTGCGTGCTTCCATAACCCAACTCCTGTGAAACTTCCTGGATGAACTGGTTCACAGCCTGATAAGGAGAGATGTTGGACACATGAAAAATACTGAAAAGATTGATTATTAGAAAAAAGTAAGAGGAAAGCGCGCACGATATCGGCTGTGCAGCCCCTAATTGCAGACTAAGGTTGCTTGCACACTTGGGTAATAATGAAGTAGAATTACTTTGTGGTCTGGTGTGCAGCAAGATAAACCAATACAGTAAGCAGTGGAAAAGAGATAAAACAAGAGTGCAAGCATACCCGTGTAATATAAAAGTTGAATTTGTCCAGAGCCCAGTGACAAACTTTGCACTTCATGTAAGACAAATAAGAAGGGTCATTTATAAGAGAGGATGCATAGGACAAGCACAAATAGACTTACATAACCTGTCTTGTGAATGTGTTTTTTTTTTATTCCAAATACCTGAAGCTCAAAATACTGGAGGTATTCAGAACTGTAAGTTCAAATACCGTTAAAGTGCAATTACCTCGGCCTTCTTCCACCCTAGTGTGTGATACAACACTCTTACAGGTGTGAGGTACATGACTCAAGTAGAGCATTGTGAGTGGACGAAGCTGTGAGTGTATGTGAGTATTAAATGGAGTGAGAGACAGTCAATCTAAGCAATAACAAAAGTTTGTAGTGTCGGGAGTGATCACAGTGTTATTGTGTGCTAACATGAGCCATCTCTGATGGTTGACAGAAACAGTGCACAGCCTTGATATGTCCTACTATTGCTATGTGCTGGATGATACCTGGATAGCGATGCTTTCAGGCTCAGGTCTCACTAGGCTCGGGCTTGAAGTATTCGGGAGGCGCGAGGTCTGCTCGGGGCCATTGGTTGTTTGACTATGGTTGTGGTATGATGCATATAGGGGGTTGCCCAGTCATGTAGCGTTAGAGCTTCGAAGTTAGAATAAAGCAGCTTCATAGCACGAGTGAGGACGGGTACGAGTTCTTTCAATTGTGGATCGTCTAGAAAAATGATGGTGACTATGAAACACTGCAACACATCACTACATAACATGAGAATGTCTTCCACTGTTTCTGTCGAGCATCATAGATGGCGCTTGTAAGCACTTCGACGCACCGTGCTAACACTGCAAAGTTAACAACAGCAAATTAAACTATAACTTATAAAGTATGGCAGTGACAGCCCATCGGCAAGCAGCGTGAGCATGACTGAATGCTGCTGAGCTAGGTTGGAAGCGGTCATGAATGTGTTACAATATCTGTGAGCTTGACCATTAATGCACGAGTGCGGAAGAGTACGAGTTCTTTTAATCGTCGATTGTCCAGCAAAATTATGGTGACTATTACACTAAGTTTTATCTCAACTAGTGTCTATTATATTTTTGTGTTCAGATGAGCCTTTCATGCCCATAAGCAAAGCTGAACAACTTGTCATTATAAAACAGGCACATGTTTATTTTATTTTTTATTTGTGCATAACACATACAGTGTTTGCCCGCGAGGTAAGGCAAAAGGAGGACTTAAACCCCCTGACTAGGCCAAACCTCGCTGGTAAAAATTCTGTCTCGTTAAAAATTAAAGAATATTATATTGGCGTCTCAGGGCAACTACAGGTCTTTTGTGTTAAGGGGCACATATAGCAGTCCAGAAATGCCAACAAACGTTTATTTCATTTTAAACGAGGTGAGTTCCTGTTTCACTTTTGGACTGTGTATTCCTTTCACCTAACAAATTCTCGCTGAACCCGGAACAAGTTGTTTTAACAAAGTTAAGCTGGCTCCGCAGCAATCGTACTGGAACTTCACGGCTCACAATTTTTTGCCATCCTTCGAGCATACATATTTATTGCAGAAGAAAGAGCGGGACTTGTCAGGGAAGATGAAGGCAAAGAGTGGAAATTCTTCGCGAGCTGGAGTCTGATGCGCGCTTACAGGATTTACTAACAAGACGTGACAGAAATCGAAAGATCACCCGGAAAGTCGTCTTGGCTGATGCATGTGCATGCCTAGCAAAAAAAAAAAAAAAGTGACAATCTATCACCGTCAACTCACCTCTCTCTTTACGAGCCCAGCCAAGTCGTCTAGCCTCTGGGTTGCGATAAGCGAAAGGACAGTAGAGATCGCCTGCAGCAAATGAAGGGAGACATCAGCGAGAGCGTACCATGACGGGAACACAAAGCAGGCATCGAGTTTTACAGATCTGTAAACAGCATTCGCAGACATTGGCATTGAGGTCATCAGTATTATGGTCGAGATCTCGGGTCACTTGTCTAACGAACAAATCTAATCCACGCACCTAGCCCTTCAATACGCGTTCACAATACATGTTTGACACAAATGTTTATGCACCACTCTACAAACCTGCTTCGTTCCTTCGAGAAACTCGGACCTGTTGAAGTCCGGGTCCCACTGGTTCTTGAGATACATGAAATCGAAGAAGAGACTGAGCCAACGAAACGGGTTTTGGAGGACAAACGATCGGCCCTTGCCTTGAGGATTCGCGTCGCGTCTGCTACGGGACGTGTGGATGTGGGCAGCACACAACACGCGCGGCGTTGGCACAATACGAACGGCTCTCGGCAGAATATTTTGCGCTAATCGAAGTGACACCGATAGTTGGAAGGTGCGCCAATACATACTGGCACTTTGAGCGGCGTATTGTGAGAAATGAACAGCATGCAAGCGCTAAACTCGAAACTTGCGAGGACCAACGCCGACGACAACAACACGCTCAGACAGAACTTGCCAATGTTGCCTCCAATAAAATGCTGTATCCGCTAATACGGCGAATAAGCGTGCGCCGTACTAATTAACAACAACCCCTTACACAAATTAAATACCCAAACTATTTAATTACATTCATGCACCATAACATATGCTGCGTTGGGAAAGGAAATAGATTGTACTTTTTAAGAACAGTCTACCAAAACAACAATTTTTAATCTCAAAAGCTATCTTTTAAAACTTAAGCAAGCAATCTGACAGCTGAGTGCCTGCGAGGCAGCGATACCATGTTCGAGATCTTTGTATCAATTGTTCAAAAAGAGCTGTCTTTATTCGCTAGTACTACCTGGACGAATCTGCGGTGCAGTAATGGTTGCCTCCGAGTAGCAAAACAAATCTCAAAGGCTATGTATTTGTGGCCTGCCTGCTGCGAAACCAAGCTACTAGTACACTGTAACCAAGCGTTGTACAATAAACAGGTCACAACCGCCCTCTGCGTAGTTCCCGAAGATATTATTCAGCGCTTTTTGTATGTGTTTCTTGTGTCTTGTCGATTTCGTGCGCTACATGATACACAATAAAACCTTGGTGATACGAATCACGCAGGGTCACCAAAAATATTCGCATCATCCGAAATTTGTATCACCAGAAAACGTGGTAATAACTAGGGGAGAAAAGAAAGCTACCGGATATATTCATTTATTGTTTCTCGGGGCCGTAGCCATACGGCACGCGTGTGTGTGTAATGAATAAGATGTATTGTGACCCGTGGCAGCTCGTAGCCCCTACGTAATCTTCGTACGCTTCTTTGCGAAACATTTGTGTACTGCGGCGAAAATAACTTCTGAAAGTTGCCCTGCAACATTTTTAAAAAGTATAGCCGAGGAAAGAATTCAAGAAAGGAGCTTATTGCCTCACGAATTCACGGCCCCAAACATTTTTAGAGTCAATCCATACGAGTGATGTTATAAATATTTGTCGCACGCTGTAACTGCATTCTCTCTCCTCTCATCCCGACAAAAGCACTGGAATCTAAACAGGGAGGGATGGCAGGGCGAACAAAATACTTCGCACGCGCCTCATGGTCTTGAACACTCTTTCTAGTTTTTTTTTCTTCTAGAATGCGCGGTTTTTCAGTAGTGCTATCCCGTGCGCACGCGGGAACTAGTCGCGGCCTCCCACGGCGGCCCCGGTAACGACCGTGCTGACCATGCTCAAAAAAGTGTTGCAGGACCCTTATAAAAAACGCCATGAAGGCAGGAAAACTTAATTACTTCCTCCACGAGGAGCGTTTCGCGTGAGGTGTATAAAGGCCAGTAAATGTATACTATTATCCAATCCCGCTCAATTGCTTACAACGTAAAATGAGTAGCACGGTGAAAAGCGGCGCTACCATCGTGGCCACCAGTGGGCCAAATCAAGCCACGGCGCATGCGCGCGGAGTGCACGCATGCGCAATAACCCCCGCGCTCTAACACGAACCGCTCTCATGCTCACTGTTTGCAGCAAAGAATTCTGATTACTAACGTTTCGCGGCGTTTTCCGATTCGCATGCGAAAAAATAGCAAAAATACATGTTAAAAAAAAAAAACACCAGAATATTTGAAACGCGCGCAGCGCCTACAGGAGGTGATAAAGTGAGCTAATTAAAATCCTCGAGATTTGTAGCTATTTCCATACAGGACCTTACGCTGGTCTGCCTTTGCGGCTCGACGGGAAACTGATCATTATTGTTTTTTTAGCTTGATTTGCAGCATAACTGCCGTGATGGGATGCTTTCGCGATGCGGTGCCAATCATTTGTGAGGTAAGCTTTTTCATCGTGGAGGCCAGGTTCGACGCCAAGCTACTTCAAGATATCGGTTGTGCCTCTATTGCCGCTATTGAAATGTCACACAGCGTCATACAAAGCAAACTTGATGATAGGCAGTCGAACATGCGTGTTTTAGAGCGTAAACAGCAGATGTACAACATTGTGCGCCCACGATAAAAAGTGTATGACTTTGAGATTAAAAAAAAAAATGAGATGTTGACAATGCTATTAGAGCATTATTGCACGTTTGGACTTTATATGATTGTTTAAGAATTAACAAAATACTACTCATAAAGCTAATCGTATGATGCGCAGGAAACGAACCAAATAATGTTTAACTAGTTTGGCTACTCGTATTGGAGCACTTATTCGAATTACGAAATATAATTTTAAGACTTCTCGAATAATCCACACTGACGAAAAACCACAAATGAACAACACACTGGAGTATCGAGGGAGCACATTTCTTTTTTTATTATTTGATTACCAAGGCATACATGAAGCGCAGACTTTTACGGGACTATCCGTCCAGTACTAATCGTCTACTTACTACCCGGGTGCTTCGATAAAACGTGCTGGGGCCCGCGAAGCCAAATGGTTTTCAATTTGTAATGCTCGTCAAGAGATTCATGATCCTTATTCACCAAACAATCTCTGACATCTATGCTTCAGTTTTATTTTGAATACTGTGACAAAGTACCACCTTGAATTCTGAAGATACCGCTGCATTTCGAATTCTATCTAAAAAAAAAAAACATCTCGTAGACTGTCACTACCTATAGGAACTGTAATGATGATTGTAGTGGGTCTCCGTTCTATATTATAGAACTACTACCTATATACTAAGGAAAGTGCCTTACATTGTAAGAAGCCGGAAGCCCGTCTGTAGACAAAGTTTCGGTAGTGAAGCCGAAGTGTCTTGTTTCTTGCTTTTAATGTTTTTAAACTTTTTAACTGCGACTTTAGCCAGTGTATCCGTTTTTACTTCGCCTTGTAATTCGTGATATGCTTGTATGAACAACTGTTTCTGATATGTACATATTGGTTCTCAACAAATGTTTCGAATGCCTGCAATTATTCGTGCTGTTTTTGTTTCCTCTAAATAGTGACAATTGTTTTTCTTAAAATTGCACATTGTTGTTGCGTGTACTGACATGTAGGGGTGGCGAGGCTCGTCAAGCAGTCGTTAATGACTGCTTTTTTCTTGCTATCCTCAGTTTTTTTTTGCCTGTAAAAAAAACTGCAATAAACTGATTGATTGAACTACTTCAATTTACACAACTGTGGCGTTTTTCCTCAGTCAGAGTTATTATAGTGCGCCTTTGTTATTGTTTGTGATTGTTTGTCCCGAATAAGATATTGTACAAAATCGTGCTTCATAGGATCGCTCTAGAAATCTTTTGAAAATGGTCGCCTTACTGTTGCAAAACTATTTGTGGAGACTGGAATATTCAGTTTGTATTCGTACTCGATTTATTGTCAACGCTATTGGATTCGATTATAAAATGTACTAATCGCACACCCCTAGTGGTCTAACATTATTGCTCGTATCTTTTTAATGAATATGCGTGAAAAAAAAAAGGTCATGCACCAATATGATGAGCTATAAATTGCGCACATATTTTGACAAAAAATAAATTTTGAAAAAAAAATCTCGCATGTTGCACTTATCAAAATGCAAATTAAGATTTAAGACAAAATACTTCAACGTTGCCTCATCAAACGCGAGTGATGCAAGAGATCATTACGCTATAACGTCACCACATGTCGTTATCGCAACGCCACAGATCGTCAACACTTGTGACGTCACTTGGACGTCACACAACGTGGTGTGACACGATGACGCCATATCACACGACATCGTCTCTCGGTCGAACGCGGGCCGATCCTGCAGGCAGTACAAAACCCGCAGGCGTACAATGCCTACGACCGGACCGATGAGCTTGCAATGTCTGCAGTATCCCGGAGAAAGCGCAAAACCACATTATGCACAAAATGTTTTCGCAGGGGGGAGCGGGAAGGGAAGGGTTATTAGCTGAAAAAGTACTTGTCGCTGGCCTAGCTGGTGTACATAATTATGAGGGGATATTGTAGACGCCCGAAACCCCATAAGAAGATCGAAGAAGCACAGGAAAAGACACTCTTTTCCTGGGCTTCTTCGTTATTGTGGTGTTTTAGGCGTCGTAGGTGAACTCATAGCGTTCTCTGCGAGTTTGAGCCCTCCCCTTGTTCCCGTGACATCTCGTATATCTGCTACCACGTTCTTTATTTCCGCAGGGCACGTATACTAGTGGCAGGCAGCTTCCGCGGGGCTCTTTCGGGGATGAAGTAATTGGTGTTGCGGCCAACGAACGGTGATCAGGATGAACCCGCCCACAAAGAATGTTTCCCACACCGCCTTGGAACCGTGGCCGTTGGAAGCGGGGCGCTAAAGGGGCACCGCTCTCCCATAAGCCACATCACCGTGACCCCTCCCACCACGATGCTACGAGAGTTAGCACACCCGAAGACAAAATCTTGTCGACGCTCATGTTTGGAGCCCGCGGCGTCGGATTGGTGGGCAGAAGCAAGGCGCGTCGACTCATCATCTCCTTAATAATAATAATAATAAAAAGGTAGAGGGTGGGAGTAGGGTCACTTATAGTTCCACTGTGCCCGCTTGTCTCGGGTGCTCCGGTTGACGAGGCAATGAAAGCGCCCTTCACAAAGACTGTCAGAGCTGTTACTCGCACGACAATGGCCGACGGACGGCATGGTAAAAGGGCGAGGGTTGTCATACAAGTGCCTCTCTATTAAGACTCTCTAATATTCGAGCAAATTCGTTCGCTGTGGAAAGCGACGATGTGCCTCGTGTTAATCCTACTTGCGTTTTTCTTTCTGTCCCATGTCAGTGTACCGTCATAGAGCTGCCGCTTCCACGGGGTGGGCGTTACGGAGACATACACTCGCACACAACGTGTGTACTTCCAATATTACCGCGGGAAGGCGAACGAGATCTTCTGTAGTGCAAAAAAAAAATTGATTGAAAGAAATTTTGCAATAATTTACGTGTCACGTGACACCAAATAGGCAGGTAGCGTGTTCCATGCTCGCCGAAATGGCTGCGCTGACTGACGCCTCTTAAGGTCCTCTGCGTTCCGGCGAGATAGTCGGTGATGTCACGTGGTCTTTCACCCCACTGTGGACGCGGCGCGTCAGGT